CTTCGCGCCTGGTGATGTGAGAGCCTGGTCCGGTGAGAACCCGGCGTGCTCCGTCCGGGCTTTGTAGGGATGCGAGGTCAACGGTCTAACGACTACGGCATGCACGACTATGAGTATGAGTATGAGGAAACCCCCCCCTCTCTCGCGCGCTCCCTCTCCTCTCTTCCTCTCATTTCTCTCTCTCTTGTCGTTTTGCCCGCCTTTTTTTTTTCTCTCCAGGTAGATCGACAAGAACTGGCGGAGATCATGCGCGGGCTCGGAGACAAGCTGACCGACGAAGAGATCGACCTCCTGATCAACGCCGCCGACAAGGACAAAGATGGCACAATCTCCATGAAAGAGTAAGTCCCCGCAGATTGGACACAAAGGGGGCCCGCGGAACCGCCCCCCCCCCCCGCCCTCCCCCTGAGAATTCTCAAGAAAGACGGCGGTTAAAAACGACGTTGTTGTTTGGAGGACGACCTCAAGGAGATGATTGAGTCGTTCTGTTTATTGTCCGTTCCGCCCCCCTCCCCCCCTTTGCCGCCGTCGGGCCTTGGATGTCGGCCACGGAGAAGATTGGCTGACGTCCGAACAATTATGGATTTGTGTGGCAAAGCATGCAGCCCATCTGAGGGGGGGGCGTATCATGTCCCCGAAGTCCCCGCCGATGATGATCGGGTGCCTAGTACCCCAAATGAAGATGGCGTCTCTCGCGACAGATAGATTGGTGGATGAATCGAAGCGCCGGCGATATAGCCCTTACGGTCGTACCACCTTGCGCTCCTCGTTGAAATACCTTTTCAACAGCTACAAACGTGAGCGGACACACCTACACTCTTTGTGACGTACTGCAGCGGTGGCATTCACTTCACACTAAGCTGTTGTCTCGGCGATGTATGTCGTGTAGCAGGAAAGGCTTCGTGCTGACGTCTCGTACGTGGCATAACGTTAGACATCACACCCCCTTGGAACGATTGTCAAAGCTCGATTTCTCCGCAGCGGAAAGAGTAGCGGTGCCGAAAACGGCGGCGTCGGCACGCGTCTCGTCGAGAGCTTTTCCGAGACGCATCGTTTCATTTATGCATCCCCTTGGCCGTGGAGGTAACAGTCCGGCTTTGAAAATCGGTCCAGGTTGCGCGGTATCGTGTGCCACTAACGTTCGACGACTATTTCCAGAATGTTGAAATAGAAATAGGTCGGGTCTGAGTGATGGTTTGTGATGTACCGCCGTATTTTATTCCGGAATGGGGTTTGTCCTGGTTTGTGTGGTAAGCCTGATTCTTGGTGAGGGCGTAAAAGGAAAAAGGCTGGCCGTCGCCCTTGAGCGAAAAATGTGCCCCTAGTCGTGTAATGGGACCAACAACGAGAGTCAACGCCGACTGACGTAGCTGCCGCGTGGATTGGTTTCTTCTCCTCACCCACCCCCCCTGTTGCGGTGTGTTTTTTTTATTTGTTTTCGCCCCTTCCGCCTTCCGCCAGGTTTGTCACCTTCATGTTCGACGAGAAAGCAGTCCATAAGTGATTCTGGTGAAGGCAGCGTCAGCGCGAAAAGAATGAACCCGGAACGGGCCGAGAGTGTTCGCTCGGGGTATCTCGATCTTCCTGCGACCATCCATGGCAAGGGGGGAACCAAAGCAAGCCTGCAGAGCCGTCCGTTTCCTGCATCGTTTTTTTTTTGTATCCTATGCATAAGTAGTCAACTAAGGGGAGGGGGGAGTGAGGTGCTTCTGCGGCTGTAGGGTCTTTACTGTGATCGTTGAGGATACCACTGCTGGGTGTCGCTCTTGTAGATAAAATTGTAACCAGTACAGCACCATCACGAGTTGATTTATACGGCGCTGCTGTTGTTGATTTGCACGTTGGGGCGCCCGTCTACGCATGGCAACCTGCAGCCGTAGACACAGGGCAACCAAGGAGCCCGTGTGCCATACGTAGCAGTGGTACACATTGTGTGGTGTCCAGGGAATTGTAGCAAGGCGGAGGTTGGGAGACAAATGCTTTCCGATGGAATCGCTGAGGGTATGCATGTATTGCTGTGAGGATTTGGACATTTTTACGGGGCACGGTTTCGAGTTTTTTCGATCTGTCAGCACAGCAGACGCAGTTAGTGTGGACGCAACAGCGCCAGCAGTTCGTAGATCGATAAATTGCGGGCCAAGCTCTCCTTACCCATGTCTTGTGTCGTCCTTCTTTGTGATGCGGGTATTGTAGACGTTGGCGGCCTGCTTTGCGCTCTAGTACCTACTTGGCTCCTTAACACACCATCACGCGGCGCTGGGTATGAGCGAGTGGAGCATGGATGGGTACGCCAGGGCCCTATTTTTCTGACGTACAGTAGCGCTTTAATGTGTATGCAAGCGCTTCGTTTGTTTTCGGTGGAGGCCAAGAGGTCAATATGTATATTTCCGAGGTTACTGCAGGTTACATGGCGTTAGATGCCACCCCCCGGACCGTTTAGCAAAGCCTGGTTACTTCAAGGCAGGCGTTGCCGAAAATGGCGGTTTTGGAACCGTCTTGCCGAGAGTTTTTTCGCGTTTTCCGAAAAACGTGCCACACGATTTTGTGCAACCTCTTCGTCGTGGAGTATTGGAGCCTTGAAAGTCGGTCCAGGGGTGTGTTATCTTGTGTCATATCGGTATGTTTGCTCGCCGGCGCCGCACGGGTTTCGTTTCCCTTGCTTGATACAGTACAGTCACCGTGACGGTGCTTTGTGGGCGTCGAAAGGTTGGCGTGATGTGCAGGCTTAAAAATACTTGGGGCGGTAAGGTTAAGGTTTAGTTAACCCTCGGAGGCATGTGACCTTTGGCATTGCCTTGGTTCTGCCGAAACGCAAGGGGATACGTCAAGGGCGAGAGAGAGCGTGTGTCCTCTAACATTCTGGTGGGGCGTTGTTTTTAAGAGATTTGTGCGCCGCGTGCGTGCGCCTAATGCAAGGGAAAGGCGCCGAGAGAGAAAAAAAAAGAAAACTAGTGTAGGGGTCGTTTCTCTTCGCACGGTAACATGAGTAGTTTTATTGTTTTGGCATGTGTGGTGTGCGCGGTTCAGATGTTGCTGGAGCACCACTTCCGGCAAGATGATTAGGTGTGCGTGCGTGCGTGATACAAGGATGTGTGCGGTGGCGGCGTGGTGTACAAGCCTGTGAGGCTCGAGATCCACATCTCTCGGACGTACAGTAGCCGTGTGTCGAACAAGCAAGTCGTCTCCAATGAATTCCGCCGCCTTTGTACAATCCCAGGCAACGCGGCAGGGTGGAAAGGACAGGTCCGTTGGAGGAAGTGGACGAAAATAACCCTTTACATGAATGAAAAACCCCATGAGAGCACCATGGCGTTGCAACGTTGGGCACGGTGTAGAAAAGCTGATGTACCGGACACCTTGTTTCGCAGTGTCCTTTCATTTTTTGCCTGTTTTTTGTTTCGCTTCAAATCGGGGGGTTGCGTGGAGGCGGCGGGTACAGAGTTCCGCTCGCACACAGACGCGCCGACTGATCCCGCAAAACAAAGGGCAAAAGCCTTCGCGTGTTGTATAACTGGTCTGGTTCCGTTCTTGTCTACGGGGTCCGTTCGTGCTTCTCGACTCCATTGGCACATCCGTGCTTTACACCAACGGTCGCCCCGGTGGTCTGGTGGTATCCTCGTAATCCGCTAGTCGCAGAGGTCGTGAGTTCGAATCTCCATGGGGTGAGAAATGTAAATTTGCGGGTGAAAGCGAAATATAGCTTAAGAGCTCTCGTGAGTACCAAACTTCGACGTTAGCACAGTTGACGAGTGAAAGGGACCGCTGGACCCTTCTCGCGAAAAAAATAAAATTCAGCACCCACCGCAGGAGGAAGGTGGGGCATGAATACAAATAACAAGAAGAAAAAGGTGTTTACCCCCTCCTGTGTGACCCTGGATCGTTGTAGTTGTACGAAAAAATACACTGAAAAGTGTAGTACTCTACATGCGCTGTAAAGTGTAGTACACGTCTCACCACGAAAAGTGGGGGGACTGTCGCCATAATAAACAGGACGAAAACGCATAACACACATACCTACACGCTTGCCGTCCTGCACAAGACTTATCATCTATTTGTGCGATCACATCATCATCGGCGGATCCGCGCTTTACACCCACAGGCATGCCGTCCTGCACAGGACTTGCCATCCACTTGAAGCAAAGCGATAGCCTCATCATCAAGAGATCCGTGATTTACGCCCGCATGCATGCCGTCCTGCACAAGACTGGTCATCTACTCGTACCACCACGATGACCTCATCAGAAACAGACCCGTGCTTTGCACCCACACGCATGCCGTCCGTCCTGCACAGGACTTGCCATCTACTTGAGGCAAAACCATAGTATCACCCCCGGCCACCCACTTATGGGAGACATTCCAAGGAGAGGTGCTCGCTCTGCCACGCGAGCACAGCAGTCTACGCAGCAAAGTTGAACAAGCAAACATAGAATAGGATAAGGTATTCAACCCGTGTTTTGGGGTTAGGGTTAGGGATAGGGTAAGGGTCTGCGTGCCCCCTCCCTATTATTTTTCTAGATAATTTGAAATCCTGCGTAGGCGGTCCTTCGAGCAGGGTGTTGAGGTGTCATGGTGCAGAACCTGGAACAAAAAATGTAGGAGCCCTCTTTTGTCCAGGAATCAGGTTTCGGATTGCAAAAGACTGCGGCGCTCTGTTTCTAGATAGTTGCACACGACGCCACGGAAAATGACTTGATGGCGGCCGGGTCGTAGCGTTCGTTATGCAATCTCAACGGCGTAAACCGAACACCTCCGCGCCGACTAGTCCAAGTGGCGCCTACATTGTAATTCAACTAATCTCACCTCCCTAGTAGGTCGTATCGACAAAATCAGAGTCATTCTGTGGCCCAAACAAAATTAAGAAAAACGCTCTACTCCGCCTGGCTTCGGAGGGGTACAGAGGGACGTCTGCCCAAGGGAGGTCAACCCTCCGAAGGGACTCCGGTTCCCTCAGGTGTAACAATTGCTCCTCAACCGGCCCTCACATAAAAAACGCAGTAGTTAAGAACTTGAGCCGCAAAATTTCCATGAGAGGAGAACTTGGCCTAAAAGAACAGGTACTCAGTCAAGAAGCCTACACAAAAACCAATAAAGTCAGTCACACTACGGCCTACATAGTCGCCGTGGGGGTACAGTCCAGTACCCCGTCAAAAAGTAAGAAGCGAGCCACGGCAAAAATCAGAGGTTCGTGAGCGTGGGCCCTACGCAATCAATCGTCGTGTGTCACGGCAACGGTGAGGTGTGGGCACCAACGTTGGGGTTCCTAGAGGGCTTCTTCCAACGCCTTGAAGAGGGGCTCGACGTAGTAGTCTGGTCGCG